CTGCTAAAGGTGGGACATAGCTCCCATTAAACAACAATGAGAGATTCTTCCTGAACTTCAATATAATAGCAGCTTTTACATGATATCATAGCACAGCTTTACTTGAAAAGAAGACATCGTGCACTTGATTTGCGATCTTAGGGCAAAACACATTTTAGTAGCCCTTCAATTTGAGCATTAACTAACAGTTACGTAAACTGCAACATACCTTTCTGATATTTAAAAATTTACATTGCTATTTACCATTTAAATGCTGCATCAATGGTAGAAACCATTGAAGCGTTAACATCGATGGTAGAAACCGTTGATGTTAACGCTTCTCTTACATCAAATTATAACCATAAAGCGTCAAGAATAAGTTAATCCTGCAAACTACAATACCTATCACGTTAGAAGTTGCTCACGAACTTTCGTCTAATCATCTTGCAGTCATAGCAACCCTTGGTGTCTTAAAAAATGACTTAATTTCCACAAGAAAAAAATCACAAATTGGCTATTTTACGAAAACATCAAAAAAATCTCCTATTAATTTAAGTGATTTAAATAGTGTTAATGGCATCGACTCTGCTGTTTCTTCCATCACTGATCAAATACAAAATGCTGAAGATTATACTTTTTATTTTCTATATTTGTTTTCCTTGTCATGCATTATGAATACTTCCAATGAGTCATATTCTTCTTATATAATCAATCATCTAAAAGTGAAAATCGTTCTGAAATCTAAACATCATATTTTTAATATTTGTTGCGAAAATCAAAATTTTATATTTTTCTACATCAAAAAATTACTTTTCAGTATAAGTTTTAAACGCTTATTTTTAAATTTCAGTATGAAAACGTAAAATTTGCGATCTTTTAATTATATTTTTTGAGTTTTACTACTTTTTAACTTTTTTTAATTAAAATGGATTTTTAGTTTCACTGGAAACAATCTAACTGATATATAGCTGGGCAAGTTACAAAAAACGAAATGTGTAACGTTGATGGCATTTGAAAATACTAAATGAAGTCAGAATTTTTTTACATTAGAAACATTTACCCAAATGCCAATGAAGAGTCGTAAATTTATGAAAAGACTAGCCTTTTATTTTTAGCATCGATAGCATAAATCGTATAATAATTTTCAAGCTTAATTTAGCTTCGCCGCAGTTATTTAACAACGTGATATTCAGGACTAATACACTGAAAAAAGAAAAAAATTATAGAAATCTTACTTTTTTAATTCGAAACTAATTTTATTTGATAAAAATATAATAAACAGCAGGATTATAACGAGCTTTAATTATTTTACAGTCTACTATGCTGAGATTTATTCCGTTCCATCTAATTTTATGATCATGAATAAAATTGCTCGTGTTAAAAATAGAGATCTGTATATCATAGTTAAGGTCCTCTATAAAAAAGATATAACAGTTTTTTCACGTTTAGAAAAACAATCTAAAATCTAAAAAAAAAAAAAAAAAATCTGAAATGTTTCAGATTTTAAATTACGTCCAAAGGGGCGTTTTTTAACATTTTGTGTGTTACCTTTCTTTATTAAATATCATGTTCCTCGCACTTAAACCATAAGATCCAGTGCAACAGCAATATCGCAAAATAGTTTTAAAACGAGCATATCTTAAGAATTTTCGATACAAAGACTCACGCGCTGGAGATAAAAATGTTTTTTCTGCACAACGTTGCCATTGCTCGCTTTGAAATCCTTGAGTTTGTTAATCAAAAATTCGTCAAAGTTTTAAAAAATAGGAAATCGATCATAAAACAAATTTCAAATTTCAAATTTGGTCTTCCACATGCTCATATTCGTTGGAGGATTACGTTATTCAAAATTCGATGACTCTATGTACCGTTATTTTATGACAATGTGAGAAATATACATACATTTACGCACATTTTCATTATTTAATTTCTTCAAATATAATGCAGGACTCTAACATTTTATGGCAGCAGTTTGAAAAGTGAACCGACATTTATCCGTCCGACGCAAAATGCCAAAACGAAACTAATAGTCCTTCGGGATTCAAATCCCTTTGGACTAAAAATCAAAAGAAATCTAAAATTTTAGGAGCATACTATCAAATTTGGATAGCTGTTTCGAATGGATGTGCATTCATTACTATTATTTCGGATTTCACTAGATTTGGATTTATGATTGTCTGACTAAAATAAAGTGAGTCTTTGTGGAAAACGTTGTAAGAGAAACTGGCTGTGTCGTTATTTGACTCATATTACATGGTAGAATTCAGACATGATCTTTTTAAATGAAAAATTTTTGATAATCCAAAAAAGAAACGTATTCAAGTAAAAATCTTTATTCTTAACTATGTGATATAGTAATTTGTTTAAAGGATTTGCCAAATCTGGTTTGAAACTTTAATTTAACGCATTTACTCGAAACTTAATATTGGAAATTTATTCTTCCTTTGATACGATTCTTTTGATCCCAACCAAATAAGATATTAAACCTTGCTCTAAACAAAAGGCAGGCTCAAATTCTTTTACCAAATATAAGATCACAAAAATATAACTTAAAATAAGAAAGCACCTTGAAGTTCTCTTTTATAGTTTATTACCCTTTCACAGTTTAGCTTGACAATAACAAGACATTTGGCTTGCCATGCTACAATCCTTAGCTTTCACGAAATGTATTTCCTAAGTTATAGTTAAAGAGACTTTGAAAAACAAAGCTTATTTTTCCTGCTAATAGAATATAAAATAAATATCACTGTTAAAAGTTCAAATAAATCTCTGAAATTATCTATACATTATTATCGTTGCAGCTAAATTCCAAAATCTAACCATTTTGTACATCGAACCGCTACTTCCAGGATTAACAAGCTCGTGAGGTCAAAAGCCCGAAATATTTAACATTGCTTCTTGCTTTGGGTACCAGTTCTATTCTTGAAGTACTTCAGCCTATCCCAATTCAAATGCTTGTAGTGTTTGTTTTAATTTTATAACAGTTATTTTTTATTTTGAAACGTTTTCCTTTAAATTCTTGTTTCCCACTTGCAGCTCCCGATCAGAATGAGTTTTTAGTATCGCGTTGCACGTAAATGAGGTAGAAGGAAGATATATGGAAGGTTCAGCTTACTTTCAGGAGCGTTTAGACGTCCTTAGTGGCGAGTGTTTGTCGTCAGGTTACTTTCTTATGAAGCCAACTACGCTCGGCCGTATTGTATGTGCCTGTTGATAATCGCCGACTATTTAATTAAGGGACAACTATGTTAGGTAATTGTGTCTAGTTTCAGCTCAGTTTAGTTTAATATTAGATTAAATTCTTATTTTCTTATCTTGATTTTAAAGCCCGAGTGGAAGCTTTCCTGTAAGTCCGAAAAGGTGCCATCTTTATTATTATTTCTTTGAGTGAATAAAAAGGTATTGTAATCCTTCTCTGGACTTTGTCGTTGTACTTGAATTAAGCGGATAAGTAGCTACACAGTTCAATGGGCTCCTCTACGTTCAGCATAGACAAAGTAGTTAGGAACATTATAAGCTTACCATTGCCATATCTACTACAACATCTCACTACGTTATGTGAGTGCTGTTCGAATTGGCAAGATCTAGATCATTGTCACTAGATCACTGTTTAAGCAAAGGAGATTAAAGAAATTGCGACATGTGTCCATGTGCAAAATTCTTAACACATATCGGTATCGCAACCGAGGAAGGGGTTTCGATTACGGATCAACGGGCACCTACTACTGTTGTGACGTTGAATCTCTGAAAGCTGTTGTTTACATTTTAACTCCTATTTGTTTCCTAGTTATCTTCAGTATCCAGCATGCGTTTGTAAACCTTTCACATTCTTTCAACCAGACAGCGAAATCTTTCCAATTATTTATGTTTATCTGATTCGTGTTGGAAATTTCGTAAGAAATCCACGACATGTTAACTTTTTAAGAGGTTATTGGATGCTAAAATATTTTCACCATTTCGCGTTAATCGCAGCAAAGGTCACACAACAAAAACAACAGAAAATTCTATTCGAAGCCCACAGTTCCGTTCCAGAAGACCTTCCCTCCGTCGCGATATCGATGTTCACTTCTGAATTATGTTTTTCACTCTTGCTCTCATTATGTAAGTGGTTATCATGTCCCATTTGCAAATGGAAGTTGCACACTCAACGGATTATTCGCTGAAATAAAAAAAATCCTGAAGGTCTTCTCGTTTACAAGTTTAAGTGACTACATTTCTTCTAATACATTAACATGGTGAATTTTCTCTATTGTTTTTTAATGGGATCGAAGAAAAAAGATGAACGGGGGCAAATTTAGTCTCGGAACTGTTACACGCTGCAAATAAGTAAACTTTTGTAAGTAAATATTACAGATTATTTTCTTTTGCTTCTCGATTGTATTTTGCGTCAGCTGAAAATAGTATTTTTCAAGACTTAAAAGGTCTAAACGGTCAGCGTCTTTTCCATTTGGCGTGCTTAATAAGACACTTACTAGAAATCTTCGTAAATCTTCGTGAAGTTAGGCATCATACCTTGTTAATTTCTATTTTTCTCCCTTTCTTTCTTCATTTTGTTTCAACAACTGAAAGCTAGCAGAAATTAGCATATTGCAGTTTGCCACGAAATAACATTCGAAAATGACGTTAATAACCGAACACGGAATTTAGGTCCATCCACGAAACTATACATACGAGTAGTATTAATGTGATGCCAAAGTTATAGCCAAGCGATAAAATAACACGAATAATAAATAAATTTTTAGCTTCAAATTCCACCGCTTAGCTAGAATAATGCATATGAGAAATGCTGCACCAGACATGGTATTTGCAATCGATTAAAGCGATAAAATGGTAGTTTTAAGAATGATGAATGAGGATATAAATAATGTTTAAAAGAAAAAAGAAAACACTTCAGTCTACATCAAAAAGATGAATCATACACGTGAGAAAGCTATTTTCAGGAAGATAATAGACTGAACTTCTATCGTATTCTTTAAAGTAACAATTTTTATTTCCACTTACATTATTTATTTTCATTTCAGATCCTGAACTTAAGTTGTAAAATGGAACTGTATTCGAATAATTTGCCACTTCTGGATGATATTCGCTACTGAAAAGCCTTCAATAATCGCAAAACGATGCTTAATGTTCTCTACGGGGACCTCAAGGGAGCAATTACTTGAAAGAACAATGTATTTCAAAAGCTGGATCTTGATTCTGCTTCTTTTCAAACAATTCGATCTTGGAACGTCTCAGTGGCCTCAACGAGTTATCGGAGCAAAAGAGCTGACGGGTAAGTAGATATCTTTTTCAATATAAGAAAGTGATGCTAGACACAGAAATGGCAAAAGAAATGGGAACAGCTTTGAATCAATTAAATGATAAAATATGGAGTTATTAATACTTTTGAATATATTAATTCATAGCGAATAAGCTATGTAACCGATGTTAAGTTTTATGACACTGAAACAGAAGCAAACTAAGAAGGTTTCCTCCTTCTCATATTTTACTTATGCTCAGTATGTTCACCTTGATTAATACAGCAGAGTGGAAATTTGGCTAACGCCACAGTAAAATGGAAAATAATTCTTTAGACAACTCCATTCCTAATTACCTCGTAGACTATTACCGAGACCCTTTGCGAAAGTGTCTCATTTAAAGTTTGCTACAAAGACTATAACAAAGAGAATATTCAAAATTTGCAATAAAGATGGATAAAGGGCACAGGATAAAGAGATGACACGTAAACACAGTTCTCACAGATTCTTCATTATTTAATTTCTTTAAAAAGAATACTGTGCGATAATATTTGCTGGCAACAATTTGAAAAGCGATATGCCATTTAGAGCTATTCAGCGCAAAACTCCGTTTCCATTTGGGCAAACGCCAATTTTGGAATTTTAAAAAAAGATTATTGAGTTTTTTATTATTTCTGTGTCACTAAATATGGTATCAGTAGAATAGTTTATTTGTTAAGAATTTTTTTAATAATTTTTGGAATTAAAAATAGTTTTATATTAGTAATTGCATGAAAAGGAAACTAGTTAATGTAAAATCTTAATTTAAACAAAATAGATACTTTTTTAGCTTAGATTTTGAATAAAACTTTATCGATTATGAGGGCGATCAGACACATGTAGCCTTTTTAAGGAGGAAAAACAAAATCTGAAAGGATATTTCAGATTTTAACTTCGCACCAGAAGATTTGTTAAGATGTTTTTTTTTCTCTCGCTGAGTTCGTAGTTTGCCAGTCTACTCTTGAACACACTTCTGTTTAACATAACTTTTTTTCTTGATTGTTAAAAATCGTTTTCTTCACCATCTAAATTTGAGCAGCAAAATCAGAAATATTTAAAACAGTATGTCTGTTAGAATTCCCAATAGAGTTTTAAGTATTTTCATGCATATTTCATAATAACTATATTATTTTTTTAAATAATAATATAGTAATATTTAAAAATAATAACATTTTTTTTAAAATAATACACAGCAATAGCATTTAGATGCAGCATCCTTCTATTTGAAAGTGATACGGACGCAAAAGTGATTTGGACAAAAAAAACTGAGGGTCAAGACTAATATCGCCTCTGATGCGAAACGAAAATATTCCTGAAAAACTGTTCTTCTGAGGAAACGGGACCTGTGTCTGATCGCTGTTGAAATCCATACAGTTTTATTCAAAACTTATGCCAACACCAGTATGATTTTTTTACTTTCTGAAAGTTATTAATATTTATAATCTTTTTTTTTTAATTTTTGTTAAGATACATATAGTTATTTGGGTCATGATCGCAAATAAAATTTTTTAACTTTTTTATCATCTTACAAAATCTGTTATTTCTTTCACTAAGTGCTACTTCGGGAAACAAATAAGTATTAGAAATAATTTCGAACCAACAAGAAATTTCATCTTTTATTAACTTTCATATTATTTTAAAATCATGTGGCCGGTATGTGTATTAAAGTGCGTTCTTTAAAATTTTATCTGCACTTGCAAAAAGTGCTATTTTATGCCATTTTTTATAACTAACCGCTTAAAACAGCTACTATAAAAATAAAAAAATATTTAATGATTGACTAGGGTCATTTCAGGGGTCCAGGGCGTACTTAATAATTATAAAGATGAAGAACTGCGTTTATTGCTTTTAAATCGCTAAATCTGTTAATCAATCAGAAACAATACCATTGAATTTGAAAGTAAGTTTAACCATCTTGTGCTTTACCGAATAGCAACACACTAGTACATGCAAGATAAAAATATTTTATTTTGGACATCGCCAACATATTTCTTTTAAATCGTTGAGTATTTTTATTACATTTCAAAGATCTGTGCTTCAAATAATGCTTCAAATCTATGCTTCCAAATCTAGTTTCAGGTCTACGCTTTCAAATTATCTTATGCTTTATCAAGTGGCAACACATTTCTTTCAAATCTCTGAGTATTCCGATTAAAATCGAAATATAAATATCTAAAGCTTTAACATATTGCTTTAAAATCACTGATTCCGTTAATTAAAATCTCATTAAGTTTGCATAAATAATAATAAATAAAAAAAAAATCTGAAATGTTTCAGATTTTAAATTACGTCCAAAGGGGCGTTTTTTAACATTTTGTGTGTTACCTTTCTTTATTAAATATCATGTTCCTCGCACTTAAACCATAAGATCCAGTGCAACAGCAATATCGCAAAATAGTTTTAAAACGAGCATATCTTTAGAATTTCCGATACAGAGACTCACGCGCTGGAGATAAAAATGTTTTTTCTGCACAACGTTGCCATTGCTCGCTTTGAAATCCTTGAGTTTGTTAATCAAAAATTCGTCAAAGTTTTAAAAAATAGGAAATCGATCATAAAACAAATTTCAAATTTCAAATTTGGTCTTCCACATGCTCATATTCGTTGGAGGATTACGTTATTCAAATTCGATGACTCTATGTACCGTTATTTTATGACAATGTGAGAAATATACATACATTTACGCACATTTTCATTATTTAATTTCTTCAAATATAATGCAGGACTCTAACATTTTATGGCAGCAGTTTGAAAAGTGAACCGACATTTATCCGTCCGACGCAAAATGCCAAAACGAAACTAATAGTCCTTCGGGATTCAAATCCCTTTGGACTAAAAAAAATCTTAAGAGCATAAAGAGGCGTTTTTAACGTATTTATTAAATATTATGTTCTTCGCGCTTAAACCATAAAATTCAATTCAACAGCAATATCACAAAAAACCTTATGAATAAAATATCCGTGCTTGAAGATGTGCACGATGTTCATGTTAATGAGACGCTTTGAAATGGTTGAATTTGTTAGTCAAAAATTCGTTAAAGTTTTAAAAAGTATGAAATAGATAACAAAACAAATTTGAAATTCCAAGTCTGGGGTTCCAGATGCCCATATTCGAGTGGAGGACTACCTTATTCAAAATTTGATGTCTCTAAATACAGTTTTTTTTCCCAGTGCGATACACATCCACACATTCATGCAGATTCTTCATTACTTAATTTCTTTAAATATAATGCAGGGCTCTAATATTTGGTGGCGACAATTTGAAAAGTGATTCAGACTTTTATAGGGAACCAACGCAATGTGCAAAAACGAAATTAAGTAAAAATGAAAACAAACTCAAAATTTGGATTTAGAGGTACCCGTGTTTAGCTGGCGAACTTTATGTGTTCAAGCGAGGAACCTGTATATATAGTACATAAAGATCCTTAATTATGTTATAATACAGATAAGTGGGCTCCTAACACCGCATAAATCCGCGAATTTCTATATGTACATTTTAAACTTACTGCAGTCTATATTCAAAATCAGATATTTGCAGAAATATACAAATTGCAGTTCTCCTGTAGAGCCATTAGGTTATTTTGAAGCAGGAGATATGAAAAATGTGCAATGACCTCTCCGGAATTCGAACTCCGGACCTCTCGAATACTCGCCGAGCGTGCTGACCATTACACCACGAAGAAGCCGGGAGAAATGCTTTATATACTCCTCCTTTTAAAGAGCGGCTGGGGATTAGGATACCCAATCCTGGGCGTAGCGAATCATCATCCACCACCTTTTTTTAGTTCGGGCGCCACTGTAGAGACATTAAGTTATTTCGAAGCAGAAGATGGGAAAAATCAGCAATGCCTTCGCCGGGACTCGAACCACGGACCTCTCGATATGCGCCGAGTGAGCTGACCACTGCACCACGAAGGCATGCTAAGAAGACGGGAGAAATACCTTATATACTCGCCCTTTTAAAGGGCGACTGGGGATTAGGGGACCTAGTCGCCAAATCCTGGTGGTGGAGAATCATCAACCACCAATTTTATTAGTTCGGGCGCGAGTTTAGAGACATTAGGTTATTTCGAAGCAGGAAACATGAAAAATGTGCACTGTCCTCGCCGGGACTTGAACTTCGGACCTCTCGAATACGCGCCGGGCGTGCTGACCGTTACACCATGAAGGCATGCTAAGAAGGCGGGAGAAATACCTTATGCTTTCACTCTCTCTATATTTTTAATGTTTCTCAATAGATAATGTTCTTTTTCAAACGGAAATATACTTTTTGATTTACTTCTTTTTACTATTTTATATAATAAAAAAAAAAGACACAAACCAGGAATTTTTCAAAATTGATACTTTTTGGTTGCATTCTAATTTTATTACAGTACAGACTTAATTTTATCAATTGGTAACGGACAGCTGATGAAATTCTTATGTTATTTTTAAGCAATTAATGTCAAATTTTCCCTTTGAAGTATTAGATCGTAATTTGAAGTTTTCGGACAGCAGCTATGTTTCAGGTTAAATATATAATTAAAGCAAAATTTTACTTTTTCGAACCACAATGCACTTTTAATTTACTTACATATACTATTTTCGTTTTTAAGAAAAGTACGAAAAGGAAGAAGGAATTTTTTTAATTGAAATATTTTTTCCGTTTGAGTTTTAATTTTATTGAATGGTCGATATTTAATTTTGTCAGTTATTAACATATAACTGATAACTTATTACGTTATTTTTATATATTTAATAGTAAATTTGCCTCTGGACTGTAAGACTAAATACAGTGCCCTCCAAAAGTTAAGGAACAGCATGTTTTCCCAAGCTCGCCATTACAAAAATGTCTGTAACGTTTAAATTCACAGTTCATATGCATGACAGTAACGAAGTTTAAGAAAATATATGCAAAAACAATAGCTATCACTTTTATTTAATAGAAATGAATGCTTATGTAAGAGTTGGAGAAAAGTGCAAAAAGTGTAATTTTTATTCACGAGTGCTGGTTTTCTGCTGTTATTACAGTTTCGTGGACAAGGTCCAGGAGAAGTCGTTTGCTCTATTCTTAGAGGGGACGGACGATCGGACTGATGGATATGAGGATGTCACCAATTGATGCTGCTAGACATCTCCATGTCTCTCGTAGTGTGATCCACCGACTATGGAATCAGTTTTAATCCGAGGATTCTGTGTCTAGAAGACATGTTCTAGGCAGACCTAGAGCTACAACACCTGCGGGAGACCATTATTTAGCTTTTTCATCCCGAAGGATGAGTAACATTACTATGCCTCAGCTCCTGGCAGATCATTTAGTGGCAACACGAATAAGATTCTCAGCTACTTCAGTGAGCAAACGCCTGTACAATACAAGTCTGTATACAAGACGACCAGTTGTTTGTATATATTTCCTTGACCCGAGAACAATGAGGTCCCCGTTTATGTATAGTAAGAGAGCACGTCTCCAGGACTAGTCAACAAAGGGTGTCTGTTCTCTTCACAGACGAGTCTAGGTTCATATTGGAGAGTAATTCAGGTCGTCAGCTGATCTAGAGAGAACAACGCACCAGATACAAGGAGTCTCACATTATGAAAAGCCACAGTTACAGAGGTGGTGGAATAATGGTTTGGGCTGGGATCTCTCTCGGCGGTCACACTGACCTGCATGTGTTCCACGGAGTAACTTTGACCAATGTGAGATATCGAGACGAGATCCTTGATCAATATGTCCACCCATACGCCGCTGCTATTTGTCCTGGATTTCTTCTGATGAACGACAATGCGCTCGGTTGCTGAAGAATAATTTTGAGGGTCACGGTATGGAGCGGATGGGATGGCCAGCTCAATCCCCAGATCTGAGTCCGATAGAGCATCATTAGGACTACCTTGGGAGACAGGTTGTTTCTTTAATTTCTCCTCCAAGGTCGTTAGCTGGGCTTGAAAAAGGATTACTTCGTGTCTGGTCGTTGCTTCGTATTTCGCTGACCGACAATTTAATTGGCAGCATGGAACGTCGCTGCCGCCAATGTATTTCAGCTAGGGGTGGACACATTCCTTGTGAAAATCCCTTTTTGTAATGTTGCCACCCCATTTTTCCCCCCAAAACTGTGATATACTGTTTCTCCAAGACTGAGTTTCTCTGCCAAGAGTCAACTTTTTGTTGTTATTCATGTTTGTGCTGAGCTTTAGAAACATTCTCTGTCGCATTCATTAAAGAACTGTTTAGTGAACATGTCCTGTAAATTTCTTGCTTCTATGTTGCTTCATTCTCAAATTAGACACAAAAAACATGCTATCCCTTAACTTTTGGAGGGCAGTATACATATTTTTCCTTGCAAAATGAAACGCGAAGTGTTGTAGTTAACACATTGCATGCGGGAAACGTGATTTTCGTTTTTTACAGTCTATCACTAGAGCGCGGGTCACTTAAATGTACGTTTTTAGTGAATTTGGGCTGGAGACCGGGTATCGTATAAATACGATGGACAGTATAAGTATGTATCAATTTATTGCGATTTTATGACAAACTCCCGCGAAATTCACGAAAAACTGCCCACTACACGCGTTAAGTCCTCGGCAAAATATACCTACATGCAATGTGTTAAAATAAACGGCTTTCGTTTAATTGTCATTAATAAACTTCAAATTCTTATTTAATGCTAATGGAGTTTAGATGTACAAAACGGAAAATTAAATAATTAATTAGAATAAAACTGAAATCTGCAAATGATCTGCTTTAATTAAGGATGATAAATTAAGATTAAATTCACTTAACAGAAAATTTAAGATCTTAAAATGTATTTCGGTCAATAATATCTATCCATAATTGAGAAAAATGTATGAGGGAACGGGAAACATGTTCTTCTGTGTTGTTAGTAAAACATTCGGCTACGTTGTTAATGAATTGAATTAGCATAGCATTGAATTTAATTTCTTAAGATCTGTCATTCAACAGAAAATTCATTTGATACGAAGAGCAATAATGTTTGAACATTTCTTTTCTTTGCAGCGTGCGAAGGCCTCGGTTTCCCGAATGCGACTTTGAATAGCTGCGGCTTCTGTACCGGTGGCGGCACGGGTCTTCCCGGGAATTTTTCCGAGGATTGCATGGGATCGTGCACCGACGACGCTGTTCCCGACTGCGCCGGGTTATGTGGAGGAAACGCATACGTTGATGAGTGCTCCGGACAGTGTATCGGTACGCACGGTATATTCTTCTTATCTTTGTAACAGAATGTGAAACATCTGTTTCCTGGGCTGTATTTCATTTAATAGCAGGAATATTTTTCATTTGAGTAAAGTAATGATTCCAAACATTTATCAGTATATGGTTAAATCACCTCTGCACAATAAAATTCCGTATGATATTTTAAAAAGTAGATGTTTTAAATAAAAAAGGATTTGAAGCTTACTTTCTTTCATTTTAATTTGTCCCTTGAGATAAAAAGGAAGAAATTTAAAATAAAGTAAGAAGAAAATTTACTATGAATATAATAAACTGTAACTAACTTAATTTTTCTGTTATAGGATTTCGGAAAGTAACATTATGTAGTACCAAGAAAATACTAGAAGTCCATCAATTAACTAATAACAAATTATTTTGAAAATATTTAATTAGCAAAGAAGTTCAGCTCATATCACAAACTAAGTATGAATTAAAATTGTTTGCATCTTAAAAGTGCACATTAGAAGATAAAATACATATAAGGGTTTTATATGTATTTTATCTTCTAATGTGCACTTTTAAGATGTAAACAATGTTTCATGAGTCCAGCTAATGAAATTTCACGGCATCCAATCAGAGAATCATTTAATTATTATAATAGCACATTAAACATTTTTTAGATTCTTCTAATTTAACCTTTTAATCATTCCAAAGGTTCTAGATTTTAGATGCAATAGAAATTTTGCGCATAAACTAATAACCAAGTGAAGGTTTTGATTAGTTTCATAAACCGATTCAATTTGTCAAGTTTTTGTTTATTGTTGCTCAGACTTTGGATTATATTTTAATTGATCCATCTTCGTTTGATCTATACTTAATATGATTTATTTATTATTTAATTTTGTTTAATATTTGTTTAATCTTATTGCCAATTCTCAAAGTGAATATACATCTTTAAAGTTGGAATTATTCTCGATATTTTAATTCTCCCCTTCTCATTGCTTTCGCTGGTTTGATTCTTTAAAGAATCAAGAGCTTACAACATTCGTTTTCATTAATTAGGGAAAAATCACAAAAATGGCCATTACTCAAAATGTTACATGTAGAATTTAATTAAACAAACCCATAGTATACGACACAAGGTAACGTACAAAATACCATGAAAAGAAATTACCAGATAATTATGATGTTATAGAAATTAGTATATGTATAAAATGAACAAATCGGATGTGTCAGTTTGGTATAGAAAAATTACCTTCTATGGAGTGTGATCTCCCCTAAAAGCAATACAACACATACAGCGAAGTGCGATGCTGTCAATTATGGAGTCTATCAGTTCCCTAGGAGGTGAGAGCCATTGCTCTTGCAAAGCAGTTGCAAGCGTGGCCAAGTGTGGCTTCCCTTCCGGTTGGGAGGGAAGGCTTCCTATCCGAGAAGTTGCCGCCCCACCAAAGCACCGAGGTGGACCCTCAGAAGAGTGTTAATCAATAACCGGCAGATTAAATTTGAAAATTACAAATTATTGTCTCTTATATTGCTGAAGTGTTATAATATTCACAAGTATCTGAAAAATAGAAATGCTCCATACACGCACATACACCAAAAAAATTGGTCAAAATGCTAACTACTTTTAGGAACCATGCATGGAGCTAACTATATTTGACAACTCTTTATAAAAATGCTTAATATTGTTTTCAGATATGTGTAGGGTTTATATTTATTTTAACTAACATTTATTTTAAGTTTAAACTATCTTTCCTGTCAAGCCTTACTTTCCCCTGGAACTGCCAATGCCAGAGTATGTAAATTTTAGTAGAACGCGCAAGGATTCAAATTATCAGCGGAAGTATTCTGATTTAAATAGAAAGGAAACGAGTTCGAGGTGTGCTGTTCTTACTTCACGAGCGCGGAGGTAGTTAGCCAGAAATTGAAGAACCCCGCGTTTCGGCCTGTGTGCTTGCCTCGGAGAATTGTTAATCGTTCAACGTGATATTCAAAGTTTGCTGAATTAGCAGCGGTATTGTAAAAACGCGGTGAGGTTAGTTACGTTTAGAGAGCCTTGTAGTTAGAGTCTTGTTATTATTTCTTTTCAGGTTCTTATTTTTATTTTACCGCCGGGTCGGCGTAGTTTGTGAGCGTCAAGAGCACGCAATTGTAATTTCTTAAGTTGAATAAAAGGGGACTTAAACCCTTAGCAAGACTCTGTCTATTTTCCAGTTTCAACAGTCACCTCTTGGTTGCGTGCAGGTTGGAGGCGCGCAACTCTACATATGTATTAGTATTGCATTCTGGTAAGACGTCAAAATTAAACAAAACCTGTACAAGCACATGTCTGTAAATGATAGTAAAAAAAAAAAAAAAAAAAAAAAAAAAAAAAAAAAAAAAAAAAACAGTCTGTTGGCTGAGAGAAGAGGTTATTGCCTCTTGGCTTAGAAAAAGAAAAAAACCCAAACACATTTACTGGTGATCGCATTAAAAAAAGTGACAACGGAGATACATAAAGTGAATATTGATATAAAAGTGTGTTTATTGGTTTTGATGAAAAATATTTGAAAAACGAAAAAAAAAATTTTTTTTCTATCGCATTTTTAGATCATTTTCTTAGCGCAAAAATCAAAATACTAAACATATACAGAACTTTTTTCAGCAACAAGAGAACCAAAAAGCAAAAAATATTAGCTTCTTTGTAATTTTTCTGCGTATTATGGGAATATTCGATTTTGCTGTCATTCTGAGATACGCGTTAAACGTCTTTTACTGATTTATGTCTAATTTTACAATGATAAATAGAATACTAGAACTGTAAGTCAAAAGCATTCAAGATTTAAGAAATAAAAATTATTATAAATACCGTATTTCATCCGATAATTTTCTCCTTAGCTTTTTAGTGCCAAAAGTTCTGAAAATATTTTAAATATTCATATAATATTCTCCTTTCTGAATGGGTTCAGAGAACGAGCTCTCCCAAATTTTAAAATGGATTCGTCCTCGTAGTGACTCTTTTGTTCTTACTAACAAAAATAAACTTATGAGTACTGCCTGCGAAAACCAGGCCGAACCTTTCCACTCCAACTGTTGAACTTTATGCCAGCTTAATACAAGAACTGGCCAATCCTAGCGAAGCAAACACAGATTAACATTCAGTTTACGATTTCGCTAAGTCAACTGCACATTCATCTTTTCTAACTATTTATGGATGATTTGAGGCCTAAGGGGTAGCAGAGACCACAATAAGAACGGACGATGCTCAAGTTACAGAGGAAAAGAAATAAAGATATTTTATTAGATATTGTAATGTTCATCTTACTTTGTATTCTTATTGGAATGTAGGTTTCTTTTAAATAAATAATCCATGAGTATTATTCATTTGCAATGTTCTTACTGTAAGCGCGTCTTTGGGAAATTAAATTATTTGCATAATTTTCCTCTCTCGATTTTCGAATGATAAAATTAGTAAACAAAAGTAGAAAAATCGCAACGAAATACGAAATGGGATAGTTCGAAACGGAATTTTTGAAGCATCTCTCTCTTTTTTCAAAAGGTTTATAGAAATAAATATGGGGAGAGAGGAGGGCACTAAAGTTTTTTTTTTTTTTTTTCCTATGAACATGTTATGGCACTAAAATATTTTTCAATAAAATTTGAATACAGACACGTCTCTTTGTATAATTTTTTTTACAGTTTTATCTGAAAGTAATTTCAAAACATGAACTCTTGTCATGTACCAAATTAAATGATTTTAAAAACTTATTGAAGGTATATTTTGGCAAATATATAAAGAATAAATGTCCTGATATAAATACTAAGAGATGAGAAAGAGATCACTCAGAATGAAAACTTTTAGAATAAATAAAGTTGATATATTATTACAAAACGCAAATACAAGTAAAACAAATTTTCTTTAAAATATATAAATTGCTGTAAGCGCCTGTGAGAAAGATGTTTTAAACATCAAATTTTGAGAACTCTGAGAATCTTATAGCTGTATAATAGAATTTCCAGTTTAAAATTTTAAATATTTAAGGCTTTAGCTATATTTTCTTAATTTTTTTCACACACCAAACTATTAAAAACGTAATTTAAACCCGTATCTTTAAAGTGTAGGTTCTAATCACATTTCCTTCACTAGTGAATGTCATTATCAATTTTATTAGCTTATTGGTCTTATTTAGGACTTCGGTGCGCTTCATTTGAAAATACAATGGTTTTATTTAAAATTTATGGAATACCGAAAATTAAGTAAATATATTTTCTTTCAATGTGAATTAAAACTTTAGGTAATTATGTTAATACACTTTATAAATATTAGGATGCTAGGGTAAAGGTGGCTGTTTTTCAAATAAGTTTTCAAAGAAAAAAAAAAATTCTCTATATCCATCCCCGCCTTTTTTTTTTTTTTTTTTTTTTATCTGTTTGACTGTTTAAATACGGCAAAACCTCGAGGTATATCTGTCTAACAGTATGGAAAATTCCATAAGGGAAAGCTTAGTGACTTGTTCCGCATGTGTAACTTTGCGTTACACATGCGGAAAAAAATACGAGAACAAACGCTATTAGAACTGTCGGAGACCCATGGAGCCCATAAAGAGGAGTGTAAAAAATAGTAATAAGTAAATCACTCAATAATGAATAATTAAAATTAAACAAAATTTTAAATGATAATAATATTAATAAATTGAATTTATTATATCTAAGTAAACAATAAATTAAGATACAATTAAAATTTAAAGAAATTTGTAACAAAACATATTTTAAAAAACTAGACGAAATAATATTAAAAAAATCTGATGTGTACACCACATGACTTCCTTGTATTGGAATATTAAATTATACGCATTTTTTCTTGCATTTCATTTAAACTTATTGGATTGAATTAAATCTACTTCGCCGACAGCGCATAAACCACAATAGAATAAATGCATTCTTTCAAATTCACTATAGTATTTGTTTACCATAGCGACACACTGGCGCTAGATTCACTTAACAGTATTAATAATTATATAACAGTTAACTTATGTAATAATTATATAACGGAAACTAAGTTAACTGTTATATAATCTAATAATTATATAACAGTTAACTTATATATTTCGTTCATATTATAATTCATAATGCACAAAATTTATATCATTTAAAGAAAAAGAATTATCTAATCGTTGCTACATGTTCTATGCAAATACTATAATAAAGCTAGAATGATGTTTAAAAGAAATTAAGCAAACAAAACAAAAAAAGAAACAGTTTTTCACAGACGATTGAGTATTTCTCATTTAATTAATTCAGTTCTCACTTCGCGAGAAGGCAAAAATACATAAAAACTCAAAATATCTATATTAAAAATTAAAGTAAATTTCAAACACTTATTTCCTCGAAAAAATTCCAGAAAGAATTAAGCATGATTTAATTGGTAATAATAAATGAATGCGTTATTTTTGTTGTTGCGAAGCTAAGTTTCTCTAGATTGGCAACAAATCCACTAGTCTCCTGTTTCAAATGTAAACATCAATGGCCGCCATTAAAAAAGGCTTAAACACTTAACAACTTTAAAATTGCTGATAATTGCTTAAAATTGCGGCACTTAAACAACTTAAAATTGCTGATAATTCTAAAAATATTGCACACAGATTTACTAAAGGCATGAAATCCTTAACCGGAAGATAAAAACAACATAATTCAATCATTTTTAAAACAAAAAATGTACAATTTACCAACATATAAGAGTAAAGAAACTGAGATTACTGAGCCAGGTAACAAAGTGGATATATAAAGAAGCAAGATATGATAAATAAATAAGATAAATAAAAAATATAAGTATTTCTTTCTAACACTATTCTTTAAAATCAGATAAAAGGGCATCTTTATGTTAGCTTGTAATCCATTCTTGACCAGATGAATACAGCCTCAGAAATTTCTTTCTGATGAGATCGGATTTCGATGAGGGGGAAATAATTTTTTTTTTTTGATGTTAAAATTAAATAAATAAATTCTTTTCAGAAAAAGTAAGGAATTCCTTTACTATCAATTTTATTATGGTCTTACTTAGAGTTCCGGTAGGCTTCGGCTCGAATTACGATTTCATTCAAAAATTAAGAAGGGCTATAGTTAGCTCATCCTTAATTTAAGCCCTGAGAAAGCCCATTTGTCGGGATTCAAACCTGGATCGAGCTGCCAGTGGTCAGCGTTTTTAACCACTTTACCACTGAATGGGTTTCAAAAAGTTCAATGAGGTATTTGAAATCATGTAATAATTCGAAGGAAATGGATGATTTATACGTTATTGCTTGCCAATACGACACTGTAGTACATATTACAGTTTAGTCCTACCGTAATTAGAAAGCTATATAATTAAATTTATAAATTGGGAAAAACTGCAACCTTATTGTACACCAGATTTTGAATCAAACTCTATTTTGAGGCGATCAGACACAAGTCTTTCTTCTTCAGGATAAGAGAGGAAAAAGTCTGCATAATTATTGCATGTTTATACAGGATTTCTACTACATCCGTATTACTTTCGGGTCGCCTAAAAGAATTCCACAATAGGTCTCGCATAATGAGAGGAATGCCGACACTATTAATAGCGAAAGCAATGAACAAACGCAGCAAAGCGTAAACGAATGTAGCGCCGTCTAGCGAGAAAAATGGTAATGAAACCGCAAATAATTTGTAGAGACATTAGGATTTCTTTGAAAGCAAGAGAGATGAAAAATAGCAACTGCCTTCTCGGGGAATCGAACCACGGACCTCTGGAATACCAGCCCAGCGTGCTACCGTTACACCACGAAGGCACGCTAAGAAAGTGGGAGAAATACCTTATATACTTCCCTTTTTAAAGGGCGACTAGGGTTTTAGGGGACCTAGTGGCTAAATCCTGGGGGCGGAGAATCATCATCCACAACCCTTTTAGTTCGCGTGCCACTGTAGAGTCATTAGGTTAATTGGAAGCAGAAAAGATGAAAAATATGCAACCGCCTTCGCCGGGAATCGAACCAGGAACCTCTGGAATACCGGCCCAGCGTGCTACCGTTACACAAAGGCACGCTAGGGAAGTGGGAGAAATACCTTATAAATTAAGATATATTAAAATTCTAAAACAATGGGAAGAAGTAACTGTATTGGAATTGATGTCATTAATTAAAGAAGATAAATTTTTGTAAATGTGAAAAGCTTCAAAGAAGTGCAGTTCACTAATTAAAAAAGTTTTCATGGATAATTTTCTTAGAGCCAAAATTATGATTAAGTTTTCAAATGTGATTAACTATAGAAGATTTGTTTATTTCTCTTTTTAGAATATACGATTTGTGTTCTTTGACTAGAAATTTTAATGCTGTTTCAATATGGCTGTATATCGCAAACCATATTGGTAAGATATGCTATAAATTTCCCAAGAATTAGAGACTGAATCTTTAAAAATCGAGCAACGAATTGTATTGATAAGTGAGAAAATAATCTGAAATTTGAACTTCTGGAAAATCCGTGAAATTTTATAATATACAGAAGAAATAATGGAATTACAACAAAGTTATTAGTGTTATTTCTTACAGCGGAATTTCTTCTTTGATGGCAAGAGGAAAATTTGAAAAGCTTCGTCAGTGAGGCAGAAAAAACGAAATATTATACTCTACATTCATATTCGATTTACTCTGCCCATTGCTTTTGATATTAACATGGTGGTCGTTCATCTTATTATGCAGATTATTGTTCTCTGAAAAAAAGTCATTTTTTGTGATCGGATTTTAGATTTACTTTGGCATGTTTCTCTTCCAATTATGTAATTAAATTCCAAAACATTTTATTAATTTTCTGCATTTTTAAAGAATGAAAGCTGCGAAATTCTAAATTACATTTTACGGAAATTTAGTGCTCCCTTGAATACCATCTAGTTAACTCTGTCACAAAACAATTAATGAATTAACGTCAATAATATTACATTGCATTTCCGAAAGCATTAAATGAAAATGTCTTGAATTATTTATTGACCTTAGAAAGTTGCTTCATTCCATGATAGGATGCAAGCAGATACGAGTATAATTTCTTTAGTAAAAATTAATATTTCTCAATATGAGAATATGCTGCTAATTATTTCAAATAACTATATTTCTCTTTCTTATGGATGACTGATGAAATCAGTGTAGATTTTGTCTGCAAGAAATTTTGCAGTTGGAAATCTGTGCACTGTGTATTTTGAGGATCAATCTGATAATTCAACACTTATCTCATAAATATAACTTGCTCGCTCTCTTTTATTATTTTAAACTGATTTTGTTTTCCTTTCTCACTTTCAGCTGGCACAACAGGCTTTTCTGAGGAGGATGTGAGTTCATTCCGGGATTGCAGAGGTTACTGCACATCTTCTGGTGGGCAGTTTTACACAGATAACTGCGGAGTGTGCCATACAGGAACTTCACCATTTCAAGACTGCACAAACAGATGCCATTTACCAGGTATTTCAGCTGAAAATTGATTAAGGAAAAACAAAAATTTCAAAATATTTTTATTTATCTTTCTGTAGCCCCAACCCCGACGTTGATAAGAGAACTTAGCTTTTGACGGTGGGTAACAAACCAACTCGCTCCATAGTGTTCCACAAAATATGCTCTACAAAGACCCACGAAATCGTTCTGAATTACGTGTATAGCTGTATAAAGTAGAATAGCATGTTAAAAGCTAATACTTGTGGCACTTTCGAACAACAAATAAAGAACCTACTGTACAAGTGTGTAGTGAAAAATATTATTGAGAAGAGCTATATGTAGTGAAAATATTTGTATGTAGTAAATATACTTATATATTTTAATTTCTTATGTAATGAGAAATGTAATTCTGTAGGCTATGAAAATATTTAATATAATTTCGGTGTATAAGTGATAACCAATATTTTGAATATCAATTTTATCAGCGATGAAATTAGACAGTGATTAAAGACATCACGTTGTTTCCGCAATAACCAGAATGACAGGGATAAAATATGTGACCCACAGAGGATAGCAAATAAAGTACTTACCCCAGACTTCGTGATAGTTGAAGAAGAAATACAAGTATTCATCTACTATTATCTTTCCTATCAAATTTAATTGCTGAGCTCACACATATAAACAAGAAATTAAATATCAGATAATAACTATAGTCCTACTATAAATACAGAGCGTCCATTCGTTTATCGATAACTACAGAGCATATCCATTTGCATCATTTCTATAGATCACGAAATATCTGGAATCGAAGAAATATGTAGCCAGGGAATACTTATCTTGAATTTCTTTTTTTGAAGCTTCTACCAGTGAATTAATTTGGAGCAGCTCACACCGGGCGATTAGACAATGGATGAGTCTAAATTGCCACAAGAGATCTTTTATGATTTGGTTTAAACATCCATTCCACCAGGGATGAATTTCAGCAACTACATATAGAATGAAGATATTCAATAAAAAAACTACAGTTATTGGACTTTTCAGGAAAGTTAAACGTGCATCGTCACACGTGGTTGTAGGAGAAGAGACAGTCCGTGAAGAGACAGGCCGAAGCCCGTCCTTCACCCTTGAACTCCCAGCAGCAAAGAGGAAAAAACCGGTCCAACAACTGCCACCAAGGGCTTGGACGAAACGATGACGATTCTTGAAGCGATAGTCTGATGATAGATGCCGGCTTGTTAGCACAAAGTGCACCTAAAACGTGTCATCGAATGGTATGAGTCAAATTTGGTAAACCGCTCCTGCAAATTAATGCAACTGCAGGAGCTCAGCCGTGGTTCTACTCTAAGTATTTGGTCCTGATGAAGGATAATTGTTCAAACTCAGCTACAGCGCACCATCATTCTCAGGATGGCCGATTTAAATTTCTACCACTTTTAGAACGAGACCAAATCCTTGGGTGCCAAAATTTATTTCTGAACGTACAACGCAGGATGCAGAATGTATGGAATCACAAAGCAGAAGACTAGTTGTCACGATCTCCACTCCGATGGCTGACGCCATTACTCTCCGGGACAGCATGGGCTGCTCTTTTGGATAATGTGAATCGGGTTTGTATATTTTATACCCCCGGTACTGCGACTATAAGAGTACAGATTTTTCTACCAGTACAGTAAGCGACTCTCAGAGATAGGATGAAATGGTATATTTAAACGAAAATTCTTTTGCCTTTTTTGCATATTTATATATTATTTTCGTAGAAATGCCCATTTTTCAAATCCGTGTACCTTACAAAATAGCTCACCGGTTCTCAAATAAATAAGACATTGGCTACTTATTATTCTGTAATATTCTTTCTCCATTATTTGTTAAAGTGATGCCCTAAAAGAGTCCATATTTTTCATCCCATTAGGATACATACATGCATGGCTTAATATCTTTATCCAGCTCTAACTTTTAGGAGTATGCTTTTTAAACCAGCTGGCTAAAACGTAAATTACATCCAGGCCGAATGCAGGATATAAAAGCAGCTCACATGCCGAAACTGGTTTTTGGACCAAATGAAAAAAATGTTTAAGTAATTTTTTTTATTGATATTAAATTTTATTTACTAAATGTTTATGAAAATGTACATAAATTCTAACAACTGTCACGCAAAAGAAAGAAATTTCAAATTTATACTTATTTTTTAAATTTAAGATTATATATTTAAGATTTAATTTATATATTTAAGATTAATATTTAAGATTGGTATCTGAAAGAAATATCTGTTGGATACATTTTGAAATTCAAACGTATTATTTCAAATCATTCTAATGCGTTGAATTAACCAATAAATAATTTTTAATAAGTGATATTAACCAATAAATAATATAATAAGTGTTGAATTAACCAATAAATAATATAATAAGTGTTGAATTAACCAATAAATAATTATAATCAGAAAGTGAACAAATTACGAAAACTTTTCAAGGCAAACAAAAATTGAGAATAAATAATAACGACGTATTATCTTTCTTTTATTTATCAAATAAAAGAAATATCTTTTATTTATTTCTTTTATTTATCAAATAATTACCAATATTTATTTTATTTGACGCATTCAGAAAAAAATACACTTATTCGCATGTAAAATAATTATAAACTCTTTTATTTCTTACTACAGCTTTCAGGTACAACATTTCATGACTTTCCGATTTCGATAAAGATTTTAAACTTTCAGAAAAATTATTAGAATATATCTTTATCATGAATTATAGATACTCATCGATTAGACTTGCTCTCTTTCTCTCTTTAAAGACTTATTAATTTTTAGTGCGAAAAACCTTTCACTTATAAATGTATTCCGAAACAAAGCAAATATTCTTATTCAAAAAACTCGTAATTGAAGGTATTTATTTCTTGACAATTATGAAGAAAGGTAAATGAAATCTTTGAATGAATAAGATTTATACCACAGTGTAAATTAATTAGCTCTTCTTATGGATTTTCTGGGACGTTACTCACGTTCGTTTTTAATGGCAGTGAAAATAATATAAAACTAGACTCAAAATCATTAAAAATCTTAAATCTTTCTTATAATTTTTGCCGTAGTAAGCAATATCATAATAAATACTAAGTAATTTACGAGAAATTTACGCGAGCCGCTAGTTTGAGACTGCTGCATTAAATAATAATCACTATTTCAAAGAAATTTTCCATTCATAAATGTTGCTTTTGAACTTCTCTGTTTCTGTTGCATTTTTTATTTTAATCTGATCTTCAACAATTCTGAATTTTAGGCCAAGAGTCACTTATGGCCAAACTTCTGTGCGGGCGCTGTGTTGGTGGAACAACAGGCGTTTTGGAATCCGAAGTCTTGGATCCTTGTGGAAACTGTAGAAGTGAAACCCTGGAGTGCCCCTGCAACGGGTGAGATAATAGAGGCATTAAAATTAATTTAAAAACGCATTTGTAGCATAGAACATACTTTTTAGGCTTTTGTCCACGATAAAAATTATTCTTTTGCAAATAATTTATAAAAGATTCAACGAATATACTATATTTAAATGTTCACTATGGGTTTAGATTCTTCATCCCTATCACCTGAATCAAAGTAGAATAACAGGGGAACTTAATAAGGAACATTTAATGTGTTTTTAAGCAAAAATAAAAATTGGAAAAGAGGGGACACATATTGACTTTAACATCGCTGAGAAATATCCTACCTTAAAAGAAACAAATTCCATATATTTCCTTCCAAAATACTAAAATTTTGAGGGTAGGACCATTCGAAACTCAACATTAAAATAAACAACGTTAGAAATAAAGAGTTTTCAGTAAACTGAGTTTCATTTCAGTAAACTGAAAACGCATGTCATTTCACTGAATTAAGAAATAAAAAACTCTGCTTTATTCACTTAGTATTACTCAGTTGCATTCGCCATCTTTTTATCGTATTCTCGAAGGGGAAAGGAATTCTTGAAATTTTTCATATCTTTGCTACCATTAGCTATCTAAAAATTCGTCTAGCTTTCAAAAATAACAAAATTTGTTGGCTTCTCTAGATATTTTAAGAGGCTTTATATATATATATATATACATACATATATTTAATCCCGTTTTTTCGGCTTTGTATTCGTATTTAATTTTGCTTTTGCAAGAGGAAAAGGAATTATTTAATTAAATGAATTTCCTCACCCATAGCCAATGTGGCGATTAAAATTATTTGCAAACATAAGAATATAAGTAACTAAAACATGAAAATTAGGAATGAATTAAAAACAAAGGAAAGAAGGCATTTTCTCAGCAGTCACGCTGGCTCTGGATAAGAGAAATTCGTTTTATTATTTTTTTTCCCGCTTTCAAAAACAAACTTAAATTTACATGTACTACCATATCTTACTGCAGCTTTATGAGTGTGGAAAAGTATGTTTAAAATTTTATAATTTTGGCATTTCGGTTTGTTACGTTACTAATATATACAAATAAACAGTGTATTTAAAAAGAAACCCGGCGAAAAAGGAAGGAATCTAAAAGTCATATAAAATAAAATCTCATGAAATACAAAATTTCTCGAATCTCAGCATTTCTGTTACTTATATTTTCGTGCCATTGCTTCTGATTAATAAAGTAAAAAATTACAATACTGATTATTGAATTGATATTGAACTTAATATTGAATTATTGATTGCAACAATATGTATACGTATCCGGAACATTTAATTAATACTATCTCCTAATTTAAATCTTATGAGCATGGCATTTTTATTCGACTTAATTTGACTGAAGACAAAATTATTTTGTCGCCCGATGCAATCTTTGCGGGTCCTAAATTCTGCTGCCTGGTGCCTCCATAAACTATAAAACATTTTTTTCGCCCCTAAATACTACTACTATTCGCCGCTCAAACAGTATTTTATTTCTACAGAAAATAATAACATGAGCAAACAAGGCTCTTGAAGAAAGAACATATTTTCAATGTCGAGACATTATTATGGTCTATGGTTCTGTTTTATACTAAATGAACAGGGTAGTGCATTACATGAGGTGGAAACAGATTATGTTCAGTATAATATAAATGCACAATTCACTTCCAGATATACTTCTACATTTCATAATATACATATCAAGGTTAAAAAATGATACTAGAGTTCACTATTGTAGACAATGACATGCAACTGGATATAAATACAATAAAATATAAAAATAAGGGAAAATTATATAGATAATACAAATAGGACTGATGTGATTCCAGTCCAAGTTCACACTATATAAACATTGATATATGCGTATTACCTATATGTGTGCAGATGATTTCATGTTTACTCATAATTATCCCATGCTGCAAATCCGGAAAAATAATATAGCTACATACATAAAAAAGATTTCCATTCATAGTAAGTAGTTCATAAGAATGTATATTTTCATCGTTATGTGCATTAAAGTGCTATTTTTAATGCAATTAAATATAAAATTAAGAAAAGGTAATATACTACATTAAAAGCTATACCTACTCCTGAATACTCAGTGCCTCCCTTAAATTCTAAAAAATTTATTATCCCTAAATTTTACCGCTCGGTGCATTTTAAATTCTTAATTCTGGTGCCCTAAATTCTATGGCCCGATTCAGCTGCATCGCTTACATCGCTCCTGTATGGAAAACACTGCAATAATATTTTAATAATATTTTCAACAATATTTTTTCTATGGGACCCAAATAAAAAAAATTTCTTAGAATTTAGGCAAAAAATTTCATAGAAATTAACTTGGTCCATTCATGTTAAGCCAAAATGACAGGCGTAAAATAAATAAATATTGAATTTGTGTAAAAGAGGTTCGGGTAAAAACAGAATTAGGTGTAATAGTAATCAAGCAAATGAGCTCAGAAAGTTAAATTTATATTTCTTATGTTACGAAAAATTCTACTCCTCATTTCGCCCACCAGCGGCCGAGCGGTAAAATCGCTGAACACTGGTAGTTCGGTCCGAGGTTCGAATCCCGCGAACGGGCTGGCTGCATGGGCGTTTTCGTGGTTTTCCCCATGTGTAACATGTATACGAGCCAGTTTCCCTTAGAAAGTCCTCCACGAAAGGCATCCCTCCCCTCTTAGGCAGATATAGCCCTAGTGTGCTTTGCCGTATTCTCAATACACACACACACACACATACACACTACTCCTCATTTCCCTCCTCCTCTTTTAATTTCATAGAATTAAAATTTAACCACAGTCCTAAAAAAGCGTGATTTGACTAAAGAAAAATATTTAAAGTGTTTGAGAGATCCTCTGTCACCCTTGAACGCACTTCGCTCTGAAATACAAGCTAACATCGCCTTCAGTAATTCAGCGATAAACGGTCTAGCGGCAAGAATTGCAAGATAAAATCACAAAGTCAAAATTTAAACATACTTATTAAAATATTTTGTCTTCTGTGATGTTGTACATGCATTGTCCTTTTTCTAATTTATGACCTAAAACAATATGTAATTACCTGTTCCTATTTTTCTGTGCATTCATGTCTGTGTTTCTTTGTGAATATATGTTTTATAATAACTTCAACAAACTTTTCTAGTGCTCTGCAGAAATTTATACATACCCATGCACCACACGCACAGACACGAAAAAAAACTCTCGTAATTTATTTGCTAACACTGTGAGTTTAATAAATTCTCTAGGTTAATGTTATATATTGTATATCCACTTAAATCACTAGGAAGTTGTAAAATCGAAAAATTGGCTTCGATGCTTGTTTGTATACAGTGCTGAAATTTCTTTAATCTGCTATCTTATTTATTTTAATTAATGTCTGATATAATTAATTAATTTCTTCTTCTTTTAATTAATGTCTGCTATATTTAAATTTATATTGTTAATTTTTCAAATTTTGAAAGAAGAGTTATTTATATCTTTCTTTTTCCAAACCTTTCTGGTTTTATTCAGAACAGGAAAACCAGATGCTTGCGGCATTTGTAGAGGAGAAGGCAAATCCTGCATGAGAGTTACAAACTTCCGACCGCGAGCAATACCTGTGAATACATACGCGACCGTGAGTATATTTTTTCTATGCCTTTAACAAGATAATGGGTTAAAGATCATTTCTAATTATAGTATGATATCGCCATTATCTGGTTATATACAAAGTGTTTCATATTGAATGGGGCAAAAAGAAACCTGTGAACGCTGTAATTATTTTATTTTGATAAATCAAATTTAGAGTGAAACTATAGTTATCCAAGTTTCTATACGTGTTCTTTTTGTGCCTATCTGGTGACACAATCCATGCAGTACCCCAGTTTCTGCCACACTCGTGATAGAATATCCTTTGTTAATGATTCGAGTTTCTCGCTACTTCAATTGCTGTAAGTCCTGGGTAAATGGAGGCACGAACACTTTGCCTTTAACAAAACACCATAAGAAAAATCACAAGGGGATCTCGATGGCCAACAAAGCAATGGCATATCGTTTGACTCAACACGGCCAATCCAGTGATGGGGTAGACTATCATTCAGGTAATGGCGTGCGTTTTTACGCCAATGTAGTGGAGCACTGTCTTTCTGCAAAGTGAAACCGGGAACCACTTCCTCCAACTGAGAGAACAATCATTCTGACAGCTTATCTTTGTAAATGCACCCGTTAATAGATTTTTTCCAGAAGAAAAGAGGACCCAAAACACAACTGTTGGCGCAGAAAACGTTCAACCTTGGAGAATCACGTTCATGTTTCATTAGACCATGTGGATTTTCCGTGCCCCAAACTCTTAAATTAAAACAATTAACTTTGCCAGAAATGCGGAAAAGGCTTCATCTGTAAACACAAGTCTTCTCGAGAAACCATCTATCTCCAGCTAATCTTCCAAATTCTCATAGAAAGCTTAACGCAACGGTTTGTCGAAAGGCTTTAATGTATACATCCTCTAAAAGGTGTATGGCCTGTAACAGCTTTAAATAATATTAAAATCTTGTAGTTTAAATAATTTAAATAGATGAACATTAAGGTATTTGTGAATGGCAATATTTGAAACCAGACTCGAGTGCCTCGTGCGACTCTCGCAATAAGTTTAATTTTAAATGATAGAGATGTTTCTCTTTTTGTTTGTATGTCGCCATTTTTTGAGTGTTAAATAAAGTATTGCTGTGTCCATCATTGGAGTTGCTTCATTTCGCCAAAGAAGTATTACAGTCTTAATTATTTCGAGGCACCGACCGAGATCGAATAATCTGCGTTTTTTATTTTATTAGTCATCATGAACATAATATTAGTGATACCAGATTATACCTCCTGTTATATTGATTGCTTTATTTTATTAGTTCATCATTGAACGCAATATAGTGATATCAGATATTACTTCCTGTTAATTTGAATTGCTTTATGTATTAGTTCATCACGGAACGCAATATTAGCGATACCAGATTATAATTCATGTTGATATTGAATTGTCCTTTTTATTAGTTCATCACTGAACATAATATTAGTGATACCAGGTTATTACTTCCTGATATTGAATTGCCTTATTTTACTAGTTTACTATCACTGAACGTAATATTAGTGATATAGGTTATTACTTCCTGTTAACACTGAACTGCCTTATTTTATTATTTTATCACTTGAACGTAAACTTAGTGATACCATTTTAATGCCGTTTCTAACTAGAGTCAAAGGAAAAGAAAAATATCTGAAGAGCAGATCTTGGAACCGATGAAGGAAGAAAATAAAGCATCCAGAGATGTATCTTTGAAGAAGAAGCTAAATCACTGGAATTAAACGTGGAAGAGTTTCACGAAAATTTGAAAAACAATAAACAAATTAATATTGAGAATCATTTTGCAATGCAACGTTATCATCATCTTTCCGGCTTTTCGATTTAATATCAAAGCCGCTACTAATAGACGGAGAAAACAATTGTCGAAAGCAAATGGACAACTGAATATTATCCGAAAGGCCCAGAGGAACTGAGGAAAGAAGGCTTCGCTGTGAATTATAGCCGAGGAACTGGTCCAACATGGAAGAGATCTAGGCGCCGTCAAGGAAAAAAGGAAGACTAATTTGAACACTGTCTATTTTCTATTTAAATGTGGTTGTAAAAATATTTGTTTAAAATTAAAAATTTTCGGCCTGAAAAATTTGGAAACTTATGAGAGAAGTTATCTTTTCCCTTCGGTAAAAGTTCTCTCCGTTGGAGGAGAGGTTGTAACAGCTTTAAATATTGTTATTAAAATCTTGTAAATTTAAAATAAATAATTTAAATAGAGGAACATTAAGGTATATGTTGAACGGCAATATTTGAAACGCAGGACTCGAGTAGCCTCGTGTGGCTCTCTTGCACGAAGAATGTAATTTAATTTTAAATGATAGAATATGTTTTCTCTTTTTGTTTGTATGTCGCCATTTTTTTGAGTGTTAAATAAAAGTTATTGCTGTGTTCCATCATTGGAGTTGCTTCATATTGCCAAAGAAGCATCACAGACAGTATTATAGACGTTCCTGTAACACATGTATTCCCATTACATTACATTAGGCACCGTTACGTTAGGCACATTGGGGTCAGAAATCACACGACGCGGTGATTTTGTAGGACTTCGTAAAATCGTTTCACGAATTTTTTAGCCACTTCGGTTTGAGGAGCTGTACGTCCTGGGCTGGTTTTCTTATACAAGCAACCGGTGAGCTGAAACTGCTTCACCCAGCGTTCAATGTTGTGACAATGTAGTGGTTCTTTACCAAATCTCGTGCGAAAATGTCTTTGAACGACGATAAATAATGATTTTTTTAAGTATTCTAAAACACAGTACGCTTTTCTCCTGAATTGGTGGCGTCATTTTGATAACAGTGCATCTAGCGGCGATTTGGTAACCGAAAGATTTTTCGCTGTTGTCAGATAAAACATGCATAATTGTATAAGTTTCACAGTTAACTTGTTTCGGCTTCATAAATCAATTACAGAATTTGTACTATGCTATTCTGTTTGTCCCATTCTATATGACACACCCTATTATGAGTTACAAAACAGCTTTCGAGTGATTTCTAGCTCTTACTTTATTAGTACGAATATTAGACTGAAAAAGGAAAAACAAAAAAAAAAAAAAAAAAAAAAAAAGATAAAAAAAAAAAAAAAAAAAAAAAACTAAAAAGATGGAACGGGAGAGAAATATGAAAAGGTTAAGCACAGCAGCGACCTTAGTGTAGTTTTACTAAGTCTCTAAATAAGAAGCGATTTTTGGCACATCCTGTATATATACGTATTTCATATAAATATATGTAATATATATATATATATATATACAGAAAGAGAGAGATTTGAATTCTTTGCACTGGTTTTTGTTTATCTCTGTATAATAAATTAAATATATAATTTTTTGTTTATATCTAAAAGAGAATAGAAGTTTTAGTTAGATCTTTCTGAGTTTTTTTTTTTTTTTTTTTTTCTGGATTTATGAAACTTGAAACGACATAGTATCTCATCGATACTTCTTCAAAAACAGTTTCAGCTATTCAAGTTGGTCTCTTCAACTCCAAACTGACTGGAAATTTCTTTTATAACAAAAGTTTATAATTTGCTACGTCTGGAGGCCCCACCAGTAAACAAGCGGTTAAAATCACTGAATACTGGGAATTCGACCCGGGTTCCATCCCAAGCTGCTCGATTAGTTTTCGCGTTTTTCCGTGTGTGAGACGACAATTCGAGCTAGTTTCCCTTATAAAGCCTCTCACGAAGACATCCTTCAGCTTAGCGAGATTGTCCTTGAGTGCTTTGCCATTTTCTAATAACCTAACCTGTTCCGTCTGCATAAATGCACTTCTGCAGCTTCAAAAATGGTATTAACATAGTTCATAAGAATAGGTTACGTTAGATTATTTAAATACTGCAAAACTCACGACTATTATCTGCCTAAGGGGAGAGATGCTTCCGTGGTGGACTTTCTAAGGAACACTAGCTGATATTCGCATTACACGTTGAGAAAACCACGAACACTAACCGTGTGTGCAAGCCATTCACCTGAACTCGAACCTAGTCGAATTACTACTACATCTGCATAAATGTATCTATGTTTTTCGCACTGTGATAAAACCACGGTACCTAGAGCCATCAAATTTTCAATAACGTAATCCTCCACCGACATCTGGAAGCCCTAATTTAGAGTTTGTTTTATTATCGATTTTATATTTTGTAACGAATATGAATTTTTTAACGAACTTTTGATTAGCAAACTCAACGATTTCAAAGCAATCAATGAATGGCAACACTGTACGGAAAAAAAAAAAAAAAATTATCAGCGCATGAGACTATGTATCGGAAACTCTAAATATATGCTCATTTTAAAATTATTTTGCGATATTGCTGTTGAATTGAATTTTATGGTTTAAGTTTGAAGAACATGATATTGAATAAGTAAAGGTAACACACAAGGCCAGCAGTGTATATGGTAACTTAAAGAAGAGGATAGGGGGAAAGGGAATATTCGTTGGAGAGCAGCCTTGGTTGTGCCAACTTGGCTCTTTTAAGGATATGGGCGACATTTCATTATTTCAATGATATTTTTTCGAAAGCTCTACTAAAAGCAATACTTTTGGACTATTGGGGCAAAATGGAGCATTTTTACACATAAAAATTAGTTTCATACATGCCAAAGAGCATGAAAGGTGTGGCATAAGTTATGGTAAATAATGGGACATGTTATTTTATGAAATATCAAATGTCCCATTATTTTCATGTTTTCTTTAAATATAAACTTCTTATTATAAAATTAGCGAAGCAACAACTTTGTGCTTGGCGTAGATTTTAGTCAATACTCTATCGGTTTCGGGGACAAATAGGTGCAGGTCCCTCTTGATCAGGAGCAAAGAAATTTGCGTAATGCAGATTTCTTGATTAAAATCTACGCCAAACACAAGACTGTTGCTTTGCTAACTTTATATTTTACTTTGGAATGTTTCTCTTCTTTCTTCTCTATAAACTGTTTCTTAAAGGTGTCCGAATACATGCGTAAGTCATTTTCAAAACCTTCTGTGTAAGTATTTTTTACGTGAAACATTTCAAATAACTTTTTT